GGATTCTTTACGAAGTTATTCTTCTTTCGAGAATGGAACAACCAGTCGCCCTTAATAACCACCCTCGCACATTGCCTAAGGATCCAAACGCGACCTACAATCACGCCATAGACAACTTGCAGGGACTCGATCATTATCACGGCCAATAATCACCGAGACGTATTCCCCTAAGTGATCCCCTTCGGTTGAAACATTTCGTTCTACCACCCTTAATCCTGTGTCCTTCTTTCTTTATTTCTTTCTCTCTCTTTTTCTCACACACACACATTCATATACACACTCGTTTTTCTTCTTCTTCTTTTTCTTTTTTTCTTCATCGTTCTAACCCGTCTACTACTACTATTACTAGTTTTCTATACGTCTGTTATTTCGTTCGCACGACGAACAATAATAATCAAAGACTTCAGAGAGAAAGAGAGAGATAGAGAGAGAGATGGCATACCTAATTCAATGCAATTATACAAGGAACGATTAAAAAAATTTTAATTGTCCGACGCGTGGAATACCTTCAGGGGAATATCCCCATGTATTATATTTGTTCCTTTTATAAAAAACAAAACAAAATAAAACCTAATCGTGTATCTCTTTCTCTTTCTCTTTCCCCCCAACCCTCTTCTCGTAAGGAGTGCATCACTTCACGCGAAAATGATCGATGATACTTTTTATACTTGATTTAAATCATGACGTTTCTTTTTTGGTTTATATCCGATTATATTTGACGCATAATGAAACAAATCACACGTTTGTTTTTAGATATAAATGATGATTTATATTAAAATTCGTATCCCAATGTAATAATACTCCCACGAAAAAAAATGTTTAAAGAGAATCATCGTTTAAAAACTCGTGTCTTAGAGATTAGAGGAATTAGATTCACTGCGGGGGACGCGTAACAAGAACGGCAGGGTATCCCCAGAGTTGAAGAGAATTCAGGAGCTGTCAAGGTTAGACACTAGCATGGAATATCTGATAGAGATAGGGAATGAAAAAGGAAATGAGAGGAAGAAGAAGAAGAAGATAAAATCCCCCTTTGCCCACCCTCATAACATAAGTGGGTAGGAGGGAATTTGTTAAGAAAATAAGAAAAATAAAAGAACTGAAAAATCAGCAGGACGAAGAAGAAGACTCACGTATCACCACGGGGTTTCTTTATTTCTCGAATAAACGAATAACAGTGAAAAGATATTAGTAATGGTGACCATGGTAATCGTAGTCGTATGTAATCAGGATCACAGGGATGTGTCTGTCTTTTTTTTCGCCTTGACCACAACACCAGTCGGTTTCCGAAAAATGTGTTTCTATACCTTTTCCATGTGGGCAACACCCCCCGCTGCTTCCTGTATTTATCATTCTCCCGTTTTTCACTTGATTATTCTTGAAATTTTTGTTTCCCTTTTCAACGTATCGTTTTGAAACACCATTCGAGGAGTAGTCAGTCGTCAGCGAGTAAACTGCTGACTCTAATTAAAATTAACGATAATAAGCGCGTGAAATGACACCCGGTAACCCCCCGTGAACATTTCGCTACCGTCAATTAACTACCTGCCTCTACTCGACTAAGATAATCACGTTTCACGCGGTGACAAATTTTGTCTCCGTGTTTTTTTTTTTCTTTTCATTTAGTTAAAGCAATTCGTAGCATCGTATTACAAACTTTTCAATTGGAAAAAGGTAAAAAAATCTTCTTAACAACAATTGTCATAATGTTAATAATAATAAATGCACGTGTTAATAAAAATTTTAACAATTCACATAATGCTGACGATACGATTTGTTGGAATTATGATTGGTGAATTTTTTTTTAACATCGATACCATCAAGTTTTTAATTCGGAATTATTTTCTCAATAGAAACGTTTACTTCCTTTTTCCTCCCCTTTTTTGATGATCGGTAAGCACGTGTAAAATAATTATTTAAGTTTAAAGACGATTTGCAAAAGTTTTAAAAATGTCAGAGAATGCAATGCTGTAATTTATGCATTATTGCAATTTCTTTGAAAAGTTTCGGTAAATATTTTTTATACTTTTAGCAAATGGATTTTAATGATTTTTATATTAGATTAAAGTACACTCTGTTATCTATGCGTAGAATATCTTTTTGAGTTATAAATCGATTTGCAAAAGTTTTAAAAATGTCAGAGAATGCAATGCTGTAATTTATGCATTATTGCAATTTCTTTGAAAAGTTTCGGTAAATATTTTTTATACTTTTAGCAAATGGATTTTAATGATTATTATATTAAATTAAAGTACACTCTTTTTCCTACGTGTAGAATACCTTTTTGAGTAATAAATCAATCTGATTATTACTTAAAATCCTCATTGACTTAGTTGCCAATCCAATATTATCGCATTTGTCAGCTAATAAACCTATAAATTCCGAAATATAGCATTAGCTCCGGCAAACGGCGTGTAGATGATGATGATGATGATGATGATGATGATGAAACGAATGTTTATGATGTTTCTTCCTTCTTCTCTCCGCGAATATTAGAGAAAATGAAGAGAAAAGATAGGACAAGAGGGTGGTAGGAAGAAGAAAAGTTGTGAAGGAAGTTAAAAAAAAGAGAAAAAACAAAAAAAAAGAAAATGAAAGGGGCAAGAAACGTTAGAAGATAGGAGCCACCGTCTTGGGGGCTTAATTGAATCAACGGGCAAACGAATAATTCTTTTATTTCCACTTAAATCTTCGAGGTTACGATCGTTATTGTTCCCTGTTCTGACAGCGGGGCGCTCGTTAGGTTTCTTACCACGGGTAGAACCAAGTTTTCTTCTTTCTTTTGAACTCTGCCGTGTGTGTAAGTTCATGGGACGCATTTCAAGAAGGGATGGATGGATATGGGTACTAGTAGTAGTAGTATTAGTAGTAGTAGTATTAGTAGTAGTAGTAGGGATATTGGTTGCCCTTTCAGAATGAAAACCACGACGTTTATTGCTCGAGCGGCTTTTGAAACGTGCTGAGTGTCTCGACAGTTATCGCGTGTACATCGTCAAGAATGAGGGGAAAACTTTTCTGAAACGAAGATCGATTAGATTTATGGAAAAGGTTTTGTTCCTACACGGTGGTGGTGATGGTAACAGGAATTGTTACATCGATGCATTTTCCCTACTACGAGAAACGGATTTGTATTACAAATTCTGATATCTTTTCTAATTTATGATGCACTTAATACCACCTTTAAACATTTTCTCATTGTATAAACTGATGATATTATTTTTCTGTTTTTTTTTTGGGGGACTATTTTTATTTTTTTAAGTAGAAGTTCACTCACGAGAATTAATTTTTCGAAATTTTTTATCAAGACGAATCAAAAATTGTTGTTACGAATATTTATTCGATTATTTTTCAGATTGTTTGCATAAATATCCATTTATGAGATAGAAACTTTGAAAATTCATAACCACGACGTGACTTTTTATGCATCTACCGATAGCTGGCGTCTCCTCGTGGCTATGACTCGAAACTGGGTGTGCAACAGGTGCCTCGTGGCTGCGTCACCAGATTGCTTGTGGTAGGAGACAAAAAGAGAGACAGAGAGAGAATCTCAGATGAAAAGATTGATACTTTGAAAGTGTTTTGATGTTAGATGAAACGAAACATTCGACGTTCGATCAATTGTGACTGAAATGAACTGAATTTAACTGAATTTAACATTTTATTTCTGACAAATGGCTTTTCAATTTTCAATTATAATTGAGTAACCCTTGCTCGATTATCGATTAAAAAGGTTTTATCTTATCGAAACTTCGAAATGAAAGAGAGGAGATCATCGGGGGGGAAAAAGAAAAAAAAAACTTTTCAAATAAAAAAGAAAAAGACATTTTTTTTCTGCATCACACACATGACGGGTAAATTGTGAAGAGATGAACGTGCAGAATGCCAGGCACGTCGTATCACCCTGACGTAAAAGGGGGCGCGAGAGATTATATAAAACGGACTACGTAGATGGGTGGGCCCGGGTCCCAGTGTTGATGGTTTAGCATAATTGCACGATTTTTTAAACCTCCTGTACGCTCTGTGTGGTCATCGAAGTAATTAACCGCTCCCGCGCTTACAATGCGTCGCGTATTAAAAAATCACCCTTTCGGTTTTATTAATGTAACCCCCCCCGTCCCCTTTGACAAGTGTTCCAAGATAAAATATTTCTCTTAGCATTTTTTGATAGGGGGATTGGATTTTTTCAAATCGTTGAAACTAAATTTACGACCCGTTGTTAACGCTAAATCAACCCACGCGTGAAATCCAATTGACCATGTCCTGTAATTTGTAAAAAATTTTGTAGAAATGTTGATTGTACATTATTCATTTCTAAATGGAAATAAAAGTATACTGTTAACAATGCAATTGATTAAAATCACGGTAGGAATAGTTTTACATAAAGTGTTCTTAAAGTATTATTAAAGTTAAAGTATTTCTAAATATTTTTAACTTGTAACAAAAAAAAGTTAGGGGTTGAATTGTATTAGAAAATTCTAATAGAAAAATAATAAAATTGATATTTTAATATTCCCAACGTATCACGAGGAAAAAAGATCTAACTCGTAGATGAATGGTCTCTCTCCCCATTATTTGATGTAACACGAGAAATTTTATGCACATCGTTACATAAAAAAGTATAGAAACTAAACGTTTAACTTTAACGATGCGTTTTAAATGCATTTTAACCGAAATTAACGAACACACAAACAATCCTTGAACATTTATTCGTTCGAAGTTTGAATTATACGTCACGGTGATTGTGCCGAAAAAAACAGATGCTAACCGGAGACACTTATTAGTCCCTTTTGCTACTTTTAAACTGATGATTACTCAGTTAGATTGATTAATTCGAGTAAACACAATAAAGATATTTTAAATATAAACGATTAATGATATTCCACGTGAGATTTTTTATGCAATCGATCAAGTTATTCGCCGTTATACGATGGTACTGTATAATTCTGATCAATCAGATACTCGGCCAGCTGACTTACTCGTTTAGTTTAGTTTAGTTTAGAGTAGTTACACGACCGGTAGTCCTAGCAAGGCCGACTGGCGCCGTGAAGCGCTTATTAGAAAGTCTCTGTGCACTGTCGGTATGCGATTGTTCACCACGATTGTGTCTCATTTAGATTCCTACCGCATTCTATTCCTACTGCTTTGAATCTAGTCTCTCGTATCTATCTCTTTCTCTTTCTTTTAGTTTCTTTCTAACATCAGTCCCGGACTGTGTATTCTCCTAACTATCCTATATTTTTCTTTCTTTTTATCTCGTCTAAATTCGCAACAATTCTTGTACGTCTATAGAACGATTTGTTTACGATCAAGGATCCTATTTCATAGTTATTTCTTCGATAGGTATTTGTCGTAAATAACATTTTATTTAAAGCTATTAACTATCGCATATTTTTTTATACGAATGTAGAATAGAACGTAGAACGTAGAATGTAATAGAATTAGATAATTTGTGTTATAAGTGAGGTTAATCAATTTTTTATTCTGAATAATTCTCGTGATAGAGGTGAATATGTATTTAAACGGGTGAGAATTTACTTCATAATTATTATAATTATAATATTTATAATATATAAATAATTAATTTATTATATTAGATTATTTGCTTTGTATAATTTTGTTTTCGTTGAATCAACATATAAATGAAATATAAATTCAGATTAAACAAAGAATTCTTCGCTTCGTAGTAGTCGTCCGAAAAAATCAGCAACCGGTATTAGGCGCATTCAAAACATTCCCTAATGTTTTAAGAGCGAAGATTTATAAGATATTTAACGAAAGGTTTTACTGATACAAGCTTAGATAACTGCTCACGTTAATAAAACTTATGCACACGCGTTGCCCTTCTTGTTCGTAGATTTATGTGCATACCTAAACTTCGCATAGAATATACCCATTGTATTCATTGTAAGAATATTAAGTAATCTTAACGGTCCTTCGTCATTTTTTCTGGTACGTAATCAAAAATTTTTAATAAAAACAAGATTCCTAAAAAAATTGTTTCCCCTTATTTTATCGTTGAGTTTAAATATTTTGAGTAGAGAAACAAAATGATACAATATCAAATCATTTTATATCTTTGTCAAGTTTTAATAATATTATAATTGTTATTAATTATTTCATATATATATATTTTATTAATAATATAATATTAATAACGTGACGTATATATCCGTCGTTGAAGTTTTAGTCGTTTTAGTTCTTAAAGACTTTAAGTTTGAGGCCTTGAGCTTATAAATAAATGTGCAGCAGTACATAATTCATCGGGATTTCTCGCGCATGTTCTCATAAGTAAGAGATTAAGATTTTATTGGGGATTATAAGGTATAGTTTAGCGGTATAATCGTTTCTCTCGTTGGCAAATCGTTCGATTTCTATTTTTTTTCTTTTTGAATGTCGGTAAAGTATGATACATGCAGCTGCCACGAAGGATGGATCCTCTTAAGTATACCACAACTGCGATTTACGTGATACAAAAAGGAAGAAAAAAAATGAGCATAATGAGACAGTGTAAGGAAAGTACAACAACAACAAAATTAAAATATACGTTGCATGCGAGTACGATAAAAATGAAACAATATAAAATTAATTTTAATATTCTTTAATGTAAAAATAATGCAAAATATATTTATGATACTTAAGAATGAGATATCTATTAGAGTATACTTGGAATATATTGAACAGTTTTAAAATGACATTTTATATTATATGACAATTTTCAATTAAAAAAGACAAGTTAATAATAATCCAAAATATTAGTAGAGTACATTAGAATGTTTTATGCAGCAGTGATTACTTCGAATGTAAAAAATTTCGTCCGAAAAAAATATCAAATCGAAATTATTTAATGTGTACAAGTATATTAATAGGTATGCATTGTTAATACGAATGTATATATGTTTAAACAATTGTATGTATTAGTAGATAACAATACAGTGTTCGATATATCTGAAAAAATTGTTAATTAGTCGAAAAAATTGTGAATTGTAATTTAGGAGCACGGTGTATACGTCAGACGATCCTACCTCTTCGAAATCAAACAATAAACTGACTGGTGTGTCCTCTTTGCAAGTACTTTTATTCAATGTTGTTTTTCTCGACTTTCCTAATATTATTTTTGTTCTGCACATGTATATAGCCTTCGGCAAGTCAGTATAATTAAAAATTAATAAAAGAAATTGTACCCCTTCTTTCAGGTATGCTAAAAAACTAATTTAACGATGTATTTCGAAAAGGATCATGCTTCACATTTATTCTGCATGCTTTTACATTTTTTAGACTTATCTCACACACACGTGACGCGTGCATATTAAACCAAAACTTTCCACAATCACGTGAATTCTTCTTATATTTTCATGTTGTTTAATAAAATTTCATAAAAGTTTTATTTTTAAATAAAGAAAAATGGAAACATATGATTGGTTACCAGTAACGAAATCCACGATAACATTAACACCGGTGTAAGAAAACGTAGGACAGGCAGGTGGTCATTGCATCGTACAATGTCACGATGCAACGACGCCTACCGTCGTCTTATGATTTATCTACGAGCGTGCCAAATGAATAGTTTTATTAATCATTTTCTTAGTGATTTAAAACTCCCCAGACGGGGTGTCGACGGTGCCAACATCAGTACCGGTACAAAACCACCAACGCCACCGCCTCCTCCGTAAAATTTACAACTACGATACGCTATAAGGCGGAGAATTTGACGACGACGACGAAAAAAAAATCTAAAAAGTATATATACAGTGAATCATTATTCTTCTCATACCACCTAAGATTTGTCACCGTGTTCACCCAACCTATATGTTGCTGTAACAATCTCTAACATTTCTCTGCATAATTTATATTCAACCTTTCCAAACGTTTTTATTTATTTCATTGAAAAATCAGTGTCCCATATCAATGTTTATTTTTAATCAAATATAAAATTCACTTTTGTCACACAAATAACTTAACAATTTTTCCATTTTCTTTTCATTAACAATAGAAAAAATAAAATCCTGAATGGAAGTACTAAAGTTTGCGAATTTTCGCAACGTTTTTACTTTCTTCATTTGATTCTACTGAAAATTCGAGTTGTCCCTCGAATATAATGGGTTGTAAATAATCATTTTTTCGGCTCACCCAATGGGTAGGTAGGGGAATATTGTTTGCGATGGTAATTGTAATGTTTCCCGGATCTCATTTGCTGGCTTTCAGCTGTTAATATATGGCGGCTTCGTAGCACGGGGCCACAGACCAGCCATAACTCACTGAAACGCAGCAACAAACAGTTCATCTAGTCGGTGGTGGTCGCGTGGGTGCCTCAAACGTTTCACTTTACTGATCTCCCTTCTTGCCAGCACACGTCTCATTCTAACAAGTGTCTTCTTCGTCTTCTCTGTTTCCAGACGGTATCTTCTTGTCTCTGAACGTTTATCTTTTTCAAGTTTCTTCATCTTCATCTTCATCTTCTTCTAAACAAAAATCTTTAAAACATTTTTAAAACACGCGAAAACTAAGAATTGATTTTAATCGTCAAACTGCTGACATATTTTTTCGGACATATGCCAAAATTGTGCCACTAAATGCAGAAAATTGTATGAAGAAAATAATGTAAAAACAGGAGTCAACAGTTAAACGGTTAAACGATAGATATATTATTAACTAAAATACAATTTCATTTATTTTAACACGTTCGTTTAATTTATCCGCATTGAAATCTAAACGAAAACAATATTAGACATGAATTAATTGAACTATCATTCTTCGAAACCTTTTCCTATGTTCCTTTTATTAACACATATATAACTAACACACTTGCTATATCATTTATGTGTTATCCATAAGTAGTCACGCAAGTGTGAGTGAGAGAACCGAATGATTTGCAATCGCTTTTTCCAGTCTCGAAGCTCGAATCAACCACTGGAGTTACGCAAAACCCATCGAAGGGCCGAAGGCATCGTGCTGAAGAGATAGTTGTCTCTCTCTTTCTCTCTCTCTCTTTCTCTGCCTACCTTCAGGATACCGGCCGGCAGCACAATTATACACGTCATTACCGGAATGAATATTCATAACGACCACAGCGAGAAAGCCCAGGGGGAAAATGATATTTACTTTGTCGATTTATAACCATACACACACACACACAAACAGTAAGAGAAAGAGTGAGAGAGAGGGGGGCGTTTTGGTGTGGGAAAAACAGAAGCGAATGAACGAACAAGTCTACCGTATCGATCCCAATAAAAAGAAAAACTTAGGGTATACAATCGGAACCCTTCCAGCTATATTGTAAGTAGATTTTAATCGCAACCAACTATTCATTTTTATTTCGCATTTTCCCCTACGTCATGAAAATTGCCTTTAGTAACAACGATGGTATTACTTTGCACTTTATCAATAAATAATGTTCTTTTTTTTATTAATACAATGATTAACGTTAGAATAAATAATATCATTTGATACTTTAGTGTTTTATCGTAATGATAAAATATCGTTGGAATGAATTTTAATACATTCGGGAAGGTAGTAAATATTGTATTTCTTTTTTTTTTTTAGGTTAGGAAAACGAATTGGAGAGTTGGACTTTATCGAGAAGGAAGAAGAAGAAGAAGAAGAAGAAGATGGAGAAGGAGGGGAAGAAGAAGGGTCGTATTTATTCGAGGGCTACATTCTCGGACACTATCTCACGACCTTAAAAGCGGCTAAACGATTCAATTTGTAGTAATTATAATGCAACCGCCGAGAGCCGGGCGACTTAAGTGTGCGCTTTTTTCATTGGAACCACTTAAGAAGCGACGGAGTTTCGCGTGTGGGCGTTACGAAGCGGATCGAGAACTCTGTCCCGACAATTTCGTGCTAATCTAAGTGATATTGAACACGTTTGACATTAATAAAGCTGAACAACGAAGATTCGTCTCTTTTGTACTGGTCTCATGCATATATATATACCTATATACATTATAATAACGTAAGATAGCAAGAAACAACCCATGCTTTAAATATTATCAACATTTTATAATCTACAATATTAATATTTCAAATGAATTCATCAATCGTATATTCATCTTAAAATAATAAATAAATTGAACGTTTAGTTACACACACACACATTTTTTATGACTTCATTGGCAACCGTAATATGAAATATATCAAATTAAACGTGAAATGTGTATGTGTAAACAATCGATGAACAATTATTTTCAAATACTTTTTATTACAAGTAATTTCCCTTTTTGTTCAGGGGGTGGGTTTCGAATCTTAGTATATTATAAAGTATTAATTAAAATAACATAAATATAAATACAAGTATCGATATTAATTGTAAGAGAATAATCATTGACAAAGTATAATTTATGAAAACATAGGCAAGATTTCAAATCAAAGAAGACGTGGACGAGGAGGAGTGGGATTGGTTGGTTAAAAGCTGACTTGCTTCTTAATTCGAACGAGTTTCATGCACGGAATGTCGCAGGGTAAATGAAATTCGCACCTACGCTCGGAGACCGTCACCTTCCACCCTCAACTAACGTTAGTTTAGAACTCGCGGAATTGTTTCAGACACGTTCATCTTAGATGCGTCTTAAAATAGTCTTCCCGGAATAGCGAAGAATTTAGACCACCAACGCGCGCGGACTCTCGTCTCAATTAACGTTTAAAGACTCGTCCAAGCGATGACTATAGCCACCCACAATGTCGTATCGTCAATATGCCATATTTGTACGCAACCAAAGTGGTTCGTTATCGAAGACTACTACCACAACGAAAATGTAATACGTCACCCACTAATCTCAACAATTTTTTGTTTTTTAACTGCCTACAAATTCTATACCTCGAATTCGGTTTTTATGTCATATTATAATTTTTAGAATTTTAATAATGCTAATTCGCGGGAATCTTTACCATGTTTACGTTATGATAAATTATTTATTTTATTATATTTAAAATTAATTTTTAAATTAACAACATTATTACAACAATTAAACAAATTATCGTATCGTTTAACCCGCTCGAGATTGAACTAGTTAAGAACAGAAATAATTTTTATACTAATGTGCGAACAATTGGGATCAAATATAAAAGAAATCAATCATAAAAACCATGGAAAGGTATTATAGACAAAAAAAATTTGACGAGGACGCATATATGCGTTTATAATACTCAAAATGTAGTACATATAATAATGGATGATATTTTATTTAGAATAAAATAATTTCTTTTGATGTTACTTTGCGAAAAATTCATCCGAGTGTAAGAACTCAACAACGAGAGGATCTTTTAAAAAGAAAAATGAAAAAAGGAAAAAGAAAACGAAGACGACTATGTTCAATCTAACTTACAGTGGTTTTACCTGTGGTGCAAGTGTAATCTGCGAAAATCTAGGCATGCCCCTCAGTCACGGTACTGAAATCTGCCCGCTTAGTCGCTTGAGTTTCTTAGCAAAGTGGGGTCAATTGGAGACGAGGACCTCGGCCGTTCGCTCCCACACTCCGCAGAAATTTATTCCGTTGCTCTAATCGAGGCCGTCCACTCGCGACGTGACGTCGTCGTCGTCTTCTTCGTCGTCATCATCGTCGGGAGGACCGAAGAAACGAGATTCACACACAGGGAACGGTCTTACGTTCTTTTTCCTTCTCTTTACCCTTCAACCCTGCCCCCTTTCAAATTATTTTTCTTATTCTTCGTAACGCAAAAGAAGACCATCCATCACCCTTATTTTTGTAATCTTTTCAGTTCACACACCCAATGGTTTAATAAAATAGTATGCAAAAATATTTATTTATTCATATATCCATGGTCAGTCCAAAAGTTTGAACGCATTACATTATTTACAAACTTCGCAAAAAATGTTTAAGAACTTTTTTGGACTTACCTGATATTAATTCGTATAATATTCTATCCTATTTTTATCGGTACTCGATAATTATTGTGTTGTATAATGCTGTTACATTTAATTTTTGAACAGGTATATTATACAACCCTGACGCCTCGGCCCCCCTATCCAGTTGTATGTGCAGTTGCAGTTGCAGTTGCAGTTGAAGTTGCATGTGCAGTTGCAGTTGCATGTGCAGTTGCAGTTGCATGTGCAGTTGCAGTTGCATGTGCAGTTGAAGTTGAAGTTTCAGTTGCATGTGCATGGGGTCCCGGCCCCTTTAACCAAACCCCCGTATCCCCACACCCTTCTACCCTCTGGCCCTATAAAAAAGAAATGAAGGAAAACAGTAAGAAATGAAATAATGAAAGAGAGAAATGTTATACGTGTAAAAGATAAGCTCGTTAGGTTGAATGAATCGATAAAAGAGGTAGAAGGGGTGACGATGATCGGTTGTTTCGGTGGTACTAAAAACGATATCTTTGTCGAGGATTCCTTGTCCAGGAAAGTGGAACGGTTGCAACTTAACCGATTTACCCGATACGTAATCGTCGGATGATACTCATCGATGCGAAACGTTCCTCTTCTTTCCTTCACATTTAAACTCGGCCCCCAGCATCCTCAGACAACAACGTCCTCCGGCGTATCTCAGAAATCTTCCGTCATCTTAAACTCTCTTACTGTCTCCCTCTGCTTTATATCTCTCTTCCTTTTTCTTTTCTTTTCTTTTTTTGACTTTATCTTAGGATATACAAGTCTACTTACATACTACAAGTACATACGTATATACCTTTATAAGTTTTACGAGGAAGAAGAAGAAGAACCGTTGGTTTCTTAACGATTACGATGATATTAGGCCCCAACGTAAGACCCAACGGAATTCAGTCGAATGTTGTAAGATTAAAATCACCCATCAACGATGATAACTTTTATGCATATATATTTTTTATCTTTCTTCTTTCAACACCACCACCCTCCTTCTTCCCACTATTCCCCCTTTAGCATCACTTTGTTGATTTGTCAGTGAGTCGATCTTTTATAAACGCGTGTTATTTTTTCATTCTTTCTTTTTTTCGCGAGTTAACGTAAAAGTAGAAAGGATTCAACCCGTCGATATTTCAACAACAGCAACAAAACTTCAATACGATCTTTTTAATATATCCCTGAGATCGTTTGTTTTTATTTTTCCTCGAACGTACATACGATATTATCGAATGAGAGAGAGAAAGAGAGAGAGTAAGAATTTATCGTTTATAATTCATTAATGCGAGAGGGGTTTTGTAAGCAAGGAAAATTTCATAACCTTAAGGCATTTTGCAAACGTGATCGATCTCGTGAAGATCGTCGATCACGATAAAACTTCAGCACGGTCCAATCCAATATGCGTACGTACACATACTCACGTTAACAACGTGTGGAAAAATTGTTGGCAGGGTGGGGTGGAGAACTGAAAACAGGGAAAAAGAAAACCTAAAACATTAGAAAAATTTATTGATTTTCTTAAAGGAGGATTATATTATAGATCGATCAGTAGGAATGCAAGCAAAGCAAACTAAAGCAAACAACAAGTAGAGGGGAGTGTGTGTCGGTTTGTCCTAACATCAGCTTGTATGCACCCAGTTATCGACCGACCATTAACTTAAATTTAAATTATAACGATCGTTACTATCGAACGAAATCGCGAAGCTCGGTTCTTTCTTAACGAGATGGATAATTACGCTAAGCCCATTAAATGAGAGAAAGAGAGAGAACATGGGGATCGGTATAAAAGAGATACACGAGAGAAAGAGAGAGAGAGAGAGAGAGAACTTTAACAGGTGCACGGAACGGAACGGAACGGAACGTTTTTCGCTGCTACCGGTTGACAAACACGCGTACGGACTTTTAAGCCAATACTAAATAGATTATATACTCTCTTTTCTACTTGGTAATTAGTCCCGTGTTATAAATTATTAATAAGTATCCGTAAACGCGCGAGCGCGCGCGCACGCGTGCCGTAGAGAAGAATGATTTAGATATAAATTGTTAGTGTAACGTTGTATTATCGATTCCCCTCCTCCTCCTTCTTCCTCCTCCTGACCCCTCCCCCTTCTTCATCTTTTAGTTCTAACCGCGAGATTGTAGTTAAACATCGATGTATGTAATATAATATATGTGTGTATTGGTAGAATGAAAGTATTGACTTATATCCGGCTGATAGAAAATGTTGTTCAGTCTCCTTTGGACGAAAAAAACAGAAAAAAAAGATTAAAAAAATAAAGAAAGAAAAAAAAAAACAGGACGGGATTGCGAAAATGCGATCCCGAGTATAGCATAATGTAAACGACCGATCGAAATACCATTACGAGACAAAGAAAACTAGTCGTTTAATAAGCCTAAAGGACTTTTAACGGTGACAGAAATGAATTTGTACAGCTCGTGGATCGTTAAACGGTTAGAGAACATATGTTACTTGGATGTCAGAGGGGGAGTGAAACGTGGAGGACGGTGAGGGGGAGGGAACGATCGAACGACGATCGGAATGACAAAGAGGAGGAGGAAGAGTTCTGACGTTTCAAAGAAGATCTATCGATGAAATCAAAAAGAACTCGACAATTTTGTAGATGATGATTTCGTGAGAAAGTAAAAGGGTTGTTACAGTGTAACGAAAGTAAGAAAGGAATAGGAGGAAGGAAAAGAAGAAGGAAGATCATAGCGGGAGAGGGAGGGAGGGAGGGGTAAAAAAAACTGTTAACGATGACGTTATAAATTATTAATGCGCTTATTATCCGCATAGTGAGTGCCGGTAAAAGAAAAGCTTTATGTGTCCGAGTGTGGAAAGGCCGCTGTCATTCCTGTTTCGATCTTTTCTCTCTCTTTCTCTCTTTCTTTCTTTTTGTTCTTTTTTTATACACTCATTTCTCCTTTTCCTCTTGAGATAGTAACGACGTCGATGACGCGCAATATACGTACACTTACGTATATATATGTATGTTTGTATTTATGTGTATGTGTTGTATATGGGTTTATATATATGGGTATACCAATATAGAGGAAGATATAGAAGAGG